AATTAACTCATACTATGAAACAAGAAGTTATTTCCCTTTAATTTCAATGATTTCATTTATGAAAGTGACATTATTAGTGTTTCCGACAAAGTTTTCACAAAATTATAACCTTGTAATGCGTGTTGGATCAGTATCAGTTGAATTATTCTAATTACAAACTCCCATTTTCTTTATATGCAAAAAATATATCTGTCAAAGAAAGAAGTGAATAAATTTCAGACAAGCTATTAAAATAGGAAATCGTATGTATTTCTTAAAACGTGATTTTTAGTAGGTGAATATTTTTAAGCAGATTTAAGATTTGAGTTTCGGTTTCGAAATAGTAAGTTCTGAGTCATGATGGATATATATTTAAAAAAGGAAATATATAAGTTCAGATATGAATAAAATATATCTGTAAAAAGACTACTTTTTTAAAGAAAAAAAATTTTTACCGATATGTTTTTTTTCTCTCATTGACTTTATCAAGGCAAATGTAATGATTTTATTTTGCAATAAGTATTTATAAACAAAAGTAACAAATATTTTACAGTTTTAAACATTTTTAAATTTAAGAATGCTCATAAATATTCTTCAGCTTAACTGTGAAAGTCAAGGTAAACTATGTAGGATGCTAAATTACGTAATGTAACAGCTAATAAATGAAAGTGAGTAAATGTTGTTGAATTTAAAAATATATTGTGTGTAAATATATAGAAAAGAACCGTTAGGTTAATAATCCAAATTCTTTATTATTTTTGTTTTATTTTTTAAAAATAGTGATCAATATACAAGTAGAGCCTATATTATAATTATTTTTTTAAAAATATGATTTCATCGCTACAAAAACAAAAGCTAAAAACTTCAATTATAGAAATTAAATTAAAGTACCTAGTTCTGTTTCATTCTCAAGCGAATTTTTTATTCCAAAATTCGCTTGAGGATGAAACAGAACTAGGTACTTTAATTTAATTTAATTTAATTTCTATAATTAGATGAAGTTTATTTTTGAAACATGAGAACTTTTATGTAGTGATGGAATCATATTTTTTAAAAAGTAATTATTATATACAATTTTTAAAGTAATCATTTATTTTATTTTAATTCAATAAATTCATTTATGTATTTATTTCAAATAAGAGCTCTTGATTTCAATTTTTAAAAATATTTTTATGGTCATGTATGCTGGCTTGGGAAAAGATGATATCATTTAAGAAAGGAGAGATTTTAAAAAATCCTGGGTGCTGACTTACATTTTGACAAGATTTCTGACCTTCGCTATCTTAACATTTTTAAAAAAATTTTTTTTAGCCAATAAAGAATAACAAATTAAAACTAAGCATTACTGACTATTAAAGAATGAAAAATATTTGTAGATTTTCAATTTTGATGTCATTCTGTGATCTTTTTTTTTTTTTTCTCCATTCAAATCTGTGAATTTGTTTTGCTCATGCTAAGTCTTGAAAAAAAAAACTATATGAAATTCACTATTTTTATCTATGTTGAATGTGTTAAAATTAATCAATTTTTAACAAGAAAAAATTCAAGCTGGTGTTAAAAAATGCTGCAAAACATACATCATTCAATCTTAAATAAATCAATTATGACATGTCTTGAATTTGTATTTAGATAGAATCTATTTATCTTCAGTTTTTCTAGTTGAATTGTTCATATCCTTTATTGTACATAATTAAGTTACAATAAAATGTATTTTATATGAATACTACCTTATGAAAATTGAGTGAGGTATTGAGGGTGGCAGGCACATGTCTCTTTTTGATTCAAGACTTGGCAGAAGAATTCCTGCAGTAGGCTGCCATTACTTTCTGAATTAGAGCGGTTGTCAACCAAAGCTATGGGACACAGTTTGTCTTCCTATTTATCTCCTAGCTTCGGTTTCGGTGAAAGAGATTCATATCAAGGATAATTTTTGCCTAAGTGAATGTAACAGATTCACTTAGAATTTGAACTCACCCCTCCAATTTCTCATTCTAAAGCATTACCCTTCACATCACACACGACCTAATGTCATCTGGGTACTGACCAGGCTCAGTATTGCTTATGAGAGCTGGCATTTCAATGCGCCATTGCTTATGGCCATATTACATCTCTACAACCAATAAAAAAAAACAAAAAAATGTAGAATTTAAATTTGAAATGTAACTCTGTGAAATAAATGTTAAATTCAAAGATTTTTGTACTTGTTCTTTATTTTAAATAATGGTAAGGGTAAGTGCAACTGAAAAACTGAATTTGATCGAGACTACTTAAGTTCTCTTAGAGGCATGAATCCATTTTCCCCTGTTCTCTAACCATCTCTGTGTCACTAGGCATCTTCTCTGGTATTTTATGATACCTAATATAAAAGAGTGAGGGACAGACTGATTGGGAAAATTAGCCTCCTATAATTACTCCCCAGTAATAAGTGGAACAATGCTGTTACACACATTATCATCCTTGACACGCCTCCTAATTCTACATGAAAAATAGATAGCAATAAATTAGTAAGTTAGGAAAATAACCCAGTTATTATAATATAATTTTTTTTTTTTTTTTTTTTTTTTTTTTAAGCTTTTCATGAATATAAAACTTACAGGATTTGTATAAATTGGACAGTTGTAAATATTTTCCTCTGGCATTGTATCGTCCTCCTTTTCTTGGTGCTGTTTGATTTGTAAGACCATAGTTGAAAAATGGTGAACCCGATTCCTGAAGAATAAAGATATACAGATTTAGTTTGTGTGTGTGTGTATAAGAATAAACAACTTTAATAATTGAACTATTAGGGTTCAAAGGTCAAAGTTTGTAGATTGCTACCATTTAACAAATGTTTTTTTGATTCTCAACTGATTGGCATAAAAAAAATAAATACTATTTCTGATGACAATGCATTATTTTAATTTTTAAATATGGCCTGAAGTAGGGAATGACACACCTCAGAAATGATTTTACTCCTTGAATCCAAGAGAAGGAATAAATTAAGTTATAAAATCAAAGGCCAAAGATTGAAAAGAAAAATTTCCTGTGATTCTTGACAATTTTTTTTTTTAATGCCAGGACACTTCAGCTTTCTTCTTTGGTACTTTGACTTTATGAATTTAAGTACAGTACTAGATTGGCAGCTAGGTCTCCATCTTACAGTTAAAATGGCTAGTTGTAAGAAAGTTTTGTTAAGAGCTTTTTCTCTGGCACTTCTCGCTTTTGGAACTCTCTTCCAGTTTTTTTGCTTTACTGTCAACTTCAGATTTTATTTTTTTTCTAGGGTCAGTTTTTATATATCCACCATATCTTCATAGTCTTTTTCTTAAGTTCATATCACAAGCCTCATTCAGTAACCCTCTACCTTGAGTGGCTATTAGGTTTTGCGCTTGGCGAACATCAAAAAATTAAATTTGTATAAAAATATTGTAACACACATTACAGGACAAATGTAATAAATAATATTGTTTTCAAGGCAAAGCCCTGAGACTGATATGGAGTAAAAATGAAAATCCACATACGAAGATTTTAGGAGACAATTCTGTTTGTAATCCCAGGAAGCACCTGATAGATAAATGTCATGGAAGAGAAAGGCAGAGGGTTGATTAGCTGCTGTTCTTGGTTCTAATATTCCTAATTTCAAAGACATCTGAAATGGTAAACATGAAAAATCAGTTTATCATTCAAGCAAAACCTTTCACATTGATGTCAGGCTGTAACTGTATAGCTATGAACATTTCAAATCTTATTTTATTTTATGAACAAAGAGCAGATTTAATTCTTCTGTGTTATAGGTTACTTTGAATGTTTGTTTAAATTGTAAACTGAAAGAAAAAAAAAAAGATATTGATGTTAACATTATGGCTGCTAATAATGAATCCTGGTAGGACTTCTAATTCTCTCAAAATTACCTCATTATAAAGGTTGAGTGTCTATTGATTAAATTTCTGTAGTTTATCAACACTTTGCAGGTTATTTAAAATCAGAAATTTTAGATTTTAATATGTTGACTCCCGCTTGACCCACCGGGGGTTGTGGTGGTATATCTGCAAGGTCCACATGACACTCTGTTGAGTTGTATTCTAAATTTTTTTTTTCTTCCCTATGAGGATTATTGGATGTGAGATCCTATGATCAATTGCTTATGAGATCATGGTACACCAGAACCACTTCTTTCCCCCCAAAAAAAAATTAAATATTTTTGAACCACTTCTTTCCCCCCAAATAAAATATTTTTTTAATATAGAAAAAAATGAGGTACTGTCAATGTATATTGAAATTTTCCAACAACCCACAAGTGGGTCATGTGGTACTCTGGGTTGTAAAATGGACTCCAGTGCAGAATGACACACCAGTCATGGGTTATTAAATATTACCTATGATATCCTTGTTTCATATATGAAACAAAGTCACTTGTATGAAAATTAGTTAAGATACAATGTTAGGACAACAAGGGAAATGAGGATTGGGAGCCAATGTGTTAAAAAATTTTTTTTTTTTTTTTTTGAGATAATAATGTTTGAGTGATAGAAGTCTTACAAATTAAGCCTTAGCTGAGGGGAGAAAAGGTGGATTCATACTTTTCTCAAGGGTGTTTGCATATCATATCATATATATATATATATATATATATATATATATATATATATATATATCTCCAAGTATAGGATTGGTGTATATGGAATAAATTCCAATAACCAAAAAATACTATTCTTAAAAGAGTGCTCAATACAGAGTAGAGCAAATATAATTTATTTGAAAATTATAGCATAAATGTTATAAAATCACTGCAAAATTAGCCATTTTGTTTCAACACTTCTGGTGTCTTATCAAGTGATGGTACTGAATGTTTTCTACATTCAACACCATCACTTGATAAGACACCAGAAATGTTGAAACAAAATGGCTAATTTTGAAGTGATTTTATAACCTGTTTATGATATATATATATATATATATATATATATAAATTTTATATAAAAATTTATGTAAAAATGAATAATATATTGTGACCCATTATCCATTACCTCTGTACATCCAAGCTTACAGCACCTGCTATTCCCAAGTGGTCACCTATCTAAGTACTGACCAAGTTCAATGTTGCTTAACTGTGGTGATTGTACAGGAACTGGTGTTTCAACATAAAGTAGCTGTAATCCTTAGTATATCCACTTTCAATTACTATTCTTATTTAGTTCATTGTATCTGCTTTTAATGCTGTCAGTGTATATCTCTTTGAAATTTGAGTTTATTCAGGAGTCTACTGTATTGCAATTTGGGTGCTACTTCAACCTTTTTCACCTTCCATAGTTTTCACTCAAGGTCACATATCATTGGTAGATGTTCGCTCCCACAGTCAGTACTTGAGTATGTTTTACAGTGTAAAATTCCATTCTCAAATTTCTTATTGATCATCAGGCAATCATTTTGATTCTTTGTTTCTTCTCCTGGGCTTGACTCACGACAAAGAAAAAGGCAAGAAATGTTTTTAAATATAAAATATTTTTATCTTTGCGATTTTTACAACTAAACTTTTCTTAATGTGTATGAATATTAAAGTTTTTAAAGTCTTTGTAACTGTTAAGATGAAAAGACGTGATTTCTCCACATATATATGTAAGAAAAAAAGAGTCAAGGAGAAAAGTGTGATTGTCACATAGGTGATGAAGACTGGTAAATGTGCAAGGGAATCTCTGTAAAGCCATTGTGAACAGATGTCACATGTATCCATCTCTATCTCTTTACTGGCTTGTCTGGCCTGGTGATTTTGCTTATATACACATCAAAGGGTTCATACAGCATATTTTTTGTCATTGGGAGCGTGACCCATTTGTTGAAAAATGTTAAATATTTGTTTTCAAAGGGTTAATTTATTAATTGGAAGGATGAGCAAATCCTTCAAATCAGAAACCAATTTTTGGGGGATTTGACCATCTTGCTGTTTATTTTCATCTTCTCTCCACAGCTTCTCCATGTCCATAAGGATTTGGGGTATTCTTGAAACCAAGTGTTGACCGTTGTTCATTTGCCTTGCACAGTTAGCTCCTTTTTTTTTTCTTCACATATATTATGGATTCATAGTTTGAATTAGTCAACTATTTCACAATCTTACTTCTTCCCTAATTTGGTATTCAAATCTACCATGACAATTATCATTTGTATTGAACCTTGGCATTGTCCAGTAGAAAATAAAGCTTTTCAATTTCTTAGTTTTGTGCTGTCAGTGCATGTACAGCTAAAATGGATATATATTAAATTGCTTCCATTTCATTTTAACTACAAGAATCCTATCAGAAAGTGTTCAGAAAACATTTCTCTGTTAAATAATTAGCATTAAGAATGCAGAAGGTGATTAATTTTTTTTTTTTTTTTTTTAACAGGACAAATTTACTAGCATTCTCGGGGACTTCAAGGGTCACATAAAAGTCCCAGCTGATGATAGTTACTGATTAACTCCCAACAAAGACAAAGGTGGTAGCCAGTTTCTGTTTAGAGATTAAGACACATTGTAGCCAGTGGCAGTTAAGACAGCAAGCAAAAGTAATACATCCTAAATAAGAAACAAAAGATGTCAAAAGATGTGATGTGTCTCCTAAGACCTTTATATTTGACCATTTACATATTGCTTGTTTTTTTTTTTCATGTGTTTTCAGTTGCTCAGTGTTTTTTTTGTTTTTTTTTTAAGAATTATTCTAGTCTTTCCTTCCAATAGGCTTAGGTTTCAGTAATAGATATACTTGTTTCTCATAACAAGCTATCTCCCCTTGACTAAAATAAAAAGCTAAATATAATCTCGAGAATTAAAAAAAAAAATGTAACATGACCTGACAAGAATTGCACAAGGCATTGTTAGGTGCATTAAATAAAGCTCCGACCAGCAAGGTGAGTGGACATACATTTTCGGGCTCATGAACAATCCACAAAAACAAGTACAAAAATTATACAGTCTTTTTTTTTTTTTTTTTTTTTTTGGTACACAAGCAATTGTAAGTAACTACTACATGCCAACTTTGTATTAACAATACCAAATATAAGTATATATGCATTCAAGTGTTTTTATACAAAGACTTTTGTCTTTTATTTGAACTTTTTTATATGTTTGTTATTGTATATTTATTCACTTTGCAAATGAAATCAATATTATATAAACACGCACAACATACTAATGCTTAATATGGGCCCTGGAGAGTGGAGAAAATCTCTCATTCTAAGCAACACATCATCATGTCCTTTAGCTTGCAGAATAATCAAACTTTATTTATTATTTTCTTTAATAAGACAGAATCACACTAAAAAATAAAAAGCTGACTTACTTTATTAAGAGGACATTTTTGAGTGAGGGCAGTATCCAGTTTAAGGGCAGTTATACAAGCTATAGGGTTACTCATCCCTCCAAGCCACAGTGATAATCCCCCTTGATACAAAGGGGAAAGTACCAAACTGAATTGTTCACATAAAGACTTCAGTTGTTGATACTGACGTTTGCTTCCTAAAAATGAAATAAAATAAATATTTTTAAGGTAAGGACAGAACTCTTTAAGGAGATTTGTACTGATATCAAACAATAGAAACACAAGTTATTTTTATGAATACTAAAGCTAATGCAAAAGTTTACAAAAATAATTCTCTTATTCTTTTAGATGAAGACATTCAATATTAAAATTCTGCTACTTATCTATCATTACAAATCTTACATTGTCTGCTGTTTTTTATATATATATATCCCTGGCAAAGGATTGTTAATTAATTTGAAACCTTTAAAACCATTTATTCTACATCATCACCTGATAAGACATTGGAGGTGTTGAAACAAAATCACTATTTTTGTAGTGATTTTAGAACATATATATGTTATAATTTTTTTTAATAAATAATTATATATATATATATATATATATATATATATATATATATATATATATATATACACACACAAATTAGAATAGTGTCATTTCCAAACCACCATGAACATAGTAGCATACAATACAACCTGTTTTGGGACATTTTTTATATTGCCTTTTAATAATTATTATAACCTAAGTTCCTAGGTTAATAGTAAAGAAAAAAGAAAGTGCAACAAATATTTTTTCAGTGATTAGAGAACATTATATAATGGTGGATATTAATCATATAAAAAACAATGAAAGTTCATATAAAAATTCAGCTAATTACTGTATCAGGCTATAGACATTAATCCAAATTTCATAAACTCTGTTTTGATTACACTGATCAACATAATTTTGCTGCCAAAAAAACAAAAAAAAAAAAGTTTTTTTTTTTTTTTTTTTTTTTTTTTAAATACTAATTTGATGGCTGACTGTATTAAAATTGCTCATTTTTGGAGAGAAAAAAAAGATCAATTTACAATCTTGGCTGATCACAAAATTTAGTTAATAAAGGTCGTAAAACCCATCAGTTTTCAGGTAGGCTGAGCAATTTAAGTTGGCCACCTGAAATAAACTATTTTTATAAGTAAAAAGTGTTTTTGAGTCAAAAATTTTAAAATAGATGTACCAAGTTTTCCAATTTAAAGCCCAAAATTCAAATTAACTGATAAAGTTTATCACTTAATTTTACAGTTAATATTAATGATAAACTTTATCAGTAATAAACCTGATAATTAAGGTGACATAAAAAAAATGAAATCCTAAAATCTTCTATTTGATATTCATAAATTTATGCCTTCACTATGGAAAGAAACCAAGCACATTGAGAACATTTTGTTTTCACAGTTGGAAAGAAACTCCAACTAAAGACATCCCGATTGAATGCACTTACTCCAGCAGTATCATGTACAATGGAATATCAAAAGTGACTTAAATAATATTGAACATGACAATCAAGAAAGAATTTTTACCATAGGTTTTATGTTTGTGAAGTTTTATTTCTGCTGTTATTTTTAAAGACTTAGGGTTTGATTGTTATTGTAAAAATAGTATTTCTCGATAAGCAGACCATTATTTGCTGGTTTAAATAAGTATTGAGAGATTTCTATGATTTTATTTTGAGAAACATTGCCATTAATCAGTATCATATATACAGAAAACAAATGAAAAAAATGAGGCATTTCTGTATAGCAAAAACGGTAGCCTACTAAGAAAAGGGTCATTTTCAGATTCAGCACCTTCAAATTGGCTAAAACATTTTTTTTTTTTTTTTTTTTTTTTTTGTTGTTGACCAGTGTTATTATTCTCAACTTCATGTGAGGAAGGCTTCTTTCTTTTTTTTTTTTTTTTTTTTTTTTTTCAATCTCCTTACTCACCAGTGTTTCTCCACCTCTGTTAATATAACCCCTAACCCAACTGAGAATGAATACGGTCCATGTTTTCTTTCCCTCCAAAAACTTTGAACCTAAATATTTTATTTTCCTTGCTTCTCTTAGGCCATTAACCAGATTAAAACTTTTTAGATAGGTAGTGAACCGTGGAAGTGATGAGTATGTATTGTAGATGTGAAGAACACGCGTGAGTTAAAATTTCCTGCTAGCCGGTCCAACTACATGAGAAAGTTGGACTTTAATTAAGTCCAAAGAAGACAAGGAAAAACAAACAAGACCGATAAATATATGTAAACAAATATGTATTAACAACAAATACAGGTTACAAGCACATGGACAGTTACATGGAGTGTGTGTGGTGAATATTATGTGTGTGTATTGTTCTTAGCGTGTTCCCAGCATTTGGGAAACGCTGTATCTGTGAGAGCTTACATCTGCAAGGTGGCATAAGGCCCAAAGGCCTGAGAAAAAAAGAAAAGAGATCAAGGCAAAGGTCAGCCAGTATTTATAGCCAGGGGTGAGAGACCCCTGGTGAAGGGTTAAGGAGCTGAGGAGGAGCTAACTCCGACAAATATAAATGATTTTCCCATTCAACAGAAGTGAACCTTTTACATCATGGATTGGAAACAAATGGGACATCAGACAATATCTTCAAATTTATCAAGACTTCAGTCACTCACCATGCCAAATGTAAAGAAAAAAATGTCCTACTCAACTTTTATCATATGGAACAAACTCCCGTATGGATGCTCTCCTAAACACTACAATGTTAATCTCTTCAAGTCAAGGGTCAATCATTATCTATCCTTCTGATCCTCATAATGTTCACTTCCTACCACACACACACACACACCTCAACAATAA